TAAAAAAACAAAAATTTTAAAGCTTTTTAGTAATTTCAAATACATACATAAATACTGTGACATAGAGCTTATGGTAGTATTTTAAATATATTTATAAAAAATTAAATAAACCCTCAAACCAGTTCCAACTCTCTATCATTGCATTGAATAATCAAATATATGAAAATATTTTGCATCAATGGCTAAAATTTGAAAATAATATTTTCAGCCAATATCTAATATTATTTTTCAACGACATTTCAACAATTTACGCACACTGAGCAGCAATGTTTAAAAGCCAAAAATATTATTATTATTCATTTTTTTCGAAACTTGTGCTTATACATATTTGCAGTTATGTGGGTTTGTTTATATAGTGATTTATAACTTCAATATACTTTTGCAATTTTTTGTTTATTAATACCAAAATAAAGTATATATGTTTTTTGCATTTAACGCAAAGTTAAATAACTTAATAAATACATACATACTCAAAACCTTTAATATCGTTTTAATAGCAAAATATTGTATATAACAGTTGCTGATTATTATTTTCAATTTTACTCTCAATGTTTGTAAATTTTTCGCCTAATATGCACTTTATGTGTGTTTGTATGTAACTTCTGAAGCGACTCGCGTCAGTTTCCTAACGGCAACTTGACGTGCATTTTACATTTGCATTTTCATTATATAAGTAAGGATTTACAGTATTGTTTTTTTATTTTTTTCTTGCAATTATTTTCTTTTTTATTATTATTAAGGAAACAAAGTGTTTTTAATCACTCGACTTTAACGGCTTTCAATGTTGCTGACATACTACTTACACCAATGCTTAATACGTTTTCTATTACTTAAATAAATGAAAAAAATTTCACAATTTTTTTTGCTGCAGTTTTGCGCTTCTGATGAATTAATGCATTAATCACAACTAAATGATAATAATTTGCATGTGTGAGTAGAATTATGAAACATATACTGTTATAATATCGTTTTTTTCTATAAATTTGCAGTTATTCAAGTATAAATATAAATATATGTGTGTTATTGTGAGCGACTACTGAGCACGTGGTTAACTACGCATTGCTTTGTTTTTGCACTCTTAAAGCGGTACAATCATTGAATCATTGATGGTGTTGCTTGGTGTTAGCGGTGATTGCCGTCTATTATGTAGAA